TAGAAGAGTTAATGTTAAATGGCCTTCTTACCAAAATCACTGTACTGAGATTCAAGGCAATCCCATAAAAATTCCTACGGCACTGTTCAAGAACATAAAACAAATACTGCTGAAATTCAGATTACAGAAACATAAAAATCCCCAAACAACTAAAGCAAAAAAAAAAAAAAGAAAAGGAATACATCACGTTATCTAAACTTAAAATATACTGTAACACTGTCCACTGTAGCACTGTCCTCCCGTTGTTCATCAATTTGCTCGAGCTGGCACCAGTAACATCTCACAACAAACTGTGAGACTTGTTGTTACTGTTTTTGGCATATTGAATACGTCATGGGTCGCTTGCCAGACTTTGCCATGCAGGCAAGATACTTTTGGTAGTTTGCCGGGCTCTCTGAGAGGGGTGGAGGAATCAAACCCAGGTTGGCTATGTTGGCCATGTGCAAGGCAAATAAATGCCTTACCCGCTGTGCTATTGCTCCAGCCCTAAAATATGCTATCAATACATAATAATCAAAGTTGCATGGTACTGGAATAAAATCACTATCCGACCAAAAGGAACAAAATCAAGAGCCAAAAGGGGAAAACTCAGACAGTTAATTTATGACAAAAGAGCTGAATGCATTAAGTGGATAAAGAAGTTTCTCAAGGGCTGGAGCAAAAGCATGGCGGGTAGGGCATTTGTCTTGTACGCCGCTGACCCGGATTTGATTTCCAGCATCCCATATGGTCCTCTGAGCACTGCCAGGAGTAATTCCTGAGCACATGAACCAGGAGTAACCCAGATGCATTGCTGGGTGTGACCCAAAAAGTAAAAAAAAAAAAAAAGTTTCTTAAACAGTGCTTGGAAAACAGATACACACACACACACACACACACACACACACACACAAAGAAAACTGGAAACCTATCTTATATCAAACACAAAAGTTAATTTTAAATGAGTTAAAGTCCTCAAAATTGGGGGGACAAAGAAAGGTACAAGGTTTAAGGCTCATGTCTAGCACACAGTTGACCCTGGTTTGATCCCCCTCAGATTTGGTCCCTGGAGCACTGCTGGGTGCAGCCCTAGAGATCTCTGAACACTCTGGGTATGAGTGTGGAGGGTCCTACACCCTGCCAGGGTAGCCTGAAAGACCTCCAGCACCATAGGGCCTGACCAGCACCATATCCTTGGGCCCTCGTCTTGAGCCACTGGCCCAGTTGGCCAAGAAACACTGGGAGAGGTTCCCAGATCCTCTTAAGTACCACTAAGTGGCCTTTTCCAACAAAACAAAACAAAAATTCCTCAGCATTGTAACTAAATCCAAAAAATACATTTGGGAAAACATAAACAAAATTTTCATTAAACTGATCTCAGAGGAGTCTTCAATGATTCAGCGCCATTAGCAAAAATAAACAAAACCTCAATATAAATAGGACTGTATCAAACTAAAAAGCTTTTGCACTTAAAAAAATTGCCTAAAATAAAAGAAAACCCTGTGGAATTGGAGTAAATACTCATTTCATATCATAATTCTGATAAAGATACATAAAGTACTTACAGAACTCAACAACATAAAATAACCCCATGAAAAATATAGAAAGAAGAACTGAACAGACAACTTTCTAAAGAAGATATTTAGATGGCCAAGAAAATGTACTCTCAAAAACCTGTTCATTGTCACTGAATTATTTTGTTCTGGGTTCACACCAAGCACTTATTCCTGGCTTGGTTCTCGGGACCAAATGGGGTCTGGGAATTGAACAGATTCTGGGAGTTGGCTGTGTGCAGGTCAAGCGCCCGACCCAGGACTATTGCTCCAGCCCTCTTTGTCACTGATTATTAGGGAAATGCATATCTAAACCTTAAGCCACTTAGAATGATCTATATACAAAAGGTTGAAAGCAAACAATCAGCGCTTGCACAGATGTGAAAAAGGAACCTTATTCACTGCTGGTGGAATTGTCATCTGATCAGTCTCAATGGAAAACAGCCTGGAGACTTCTCAAAAATTTAAAATGAAACTACCATCTGACCCTGCGGTTCCACTCCTTAGTACCAATCTCAAGAACCAAGAACACGAAAACAAAAAAATTGGAACTATATTTACACCTAATTTATTTCAATAGTCATCATTTGGAAACAACCCAACATCCCAACAATGAATAAAGAAAATTTGTTAGATATGTACACAATGGAATAAGTGTATATCTATAAGAGATGAAATCTTGCATTTTTCTATAATATGGATAGAATTATTAAGTAAAATTAAGTCTGTAGGAAGAAGATAAATACCAGATCATCTCACTCATGTGTGCTATATATAGAAATAAAGTAAGGAAAGAAATAATGGTTAATAAAAACAAAGCCTTGGGCTTGGTGATAATGATGGAAGGATACTAGTACCTTGGTGGTGGGTATGGTACCTGCCCCCCCATCCCCCAGCAAACAGTAGGTCATTATCATCTAAGATTTTATACAAAAAGCTTTGAAGATAAGGGATTTGAGTTGAATTAAACCTATGAAAATTCCTAATACAAAAACAAGATTATCAGCTTGCATGCATTACAATAAAAGACTTAAAATGTGATTATAGTTGGCATTATTCCTCAAAATTATGTCACTTTAGAGATAAAAGAAGGAAAAAAAAAAGTCTGCCTCCCTAGCATGTTTTTGAAACCCTTTCAAAAGCCACAAATATGTATGTAATGTGACACGGCCTCAAAACCACACAGCATTCTTCCCAACTTACCATTTATATAAGCCAAAAATAATCTAGAAAGGCAACACGTCTGAAGAAAAAGTATAATGCCTACTGCCTGAAATACCTCTAAAAATCACCTGCACTTCTACCTGGGTTTATAAAAACCATTTCCTTATTGTAGACAGGAGAAAACTACAAGTTAATAATCACGAGAAATTACCAAGAAGTATATTAGTATGCTAACTTGATACAAACTTCATCTTCAGCAGAATGTAACTTACAAAACTTTATTACATATGAAACGTGGGGCTGGAGTGATAGCACAGCGGGTAGGGCATTTGCCTTGCATGCAACTGACCCAGGTTCGATTCCCAGCATCCCATATGGTCCCCCAGCACCGCCAGGAGTAATTCCTCAGTACAGAACTGGGAGTAAGGCCTGTGCACCACCGGGTGTGATTTCAAAAGCAATATATATATATATATATACATATATATATATATATCTGAAACGTGTTTTAAAACTTAGGAGACAGTTCCTCAAAGAATACATACATGTAATACCTTGAAAAGGCTCAATCACATTCATCAATGAAACCTGTATTTTAAAAGATTTTAATAGGTTTAACAGAAACTTGGTCAGAGAGGTGGTATAGCAGGTAAGGTGCTTGCTTGCCTTGTGCACAGCCGGCCCGGGCTCTACCGGCAGCACCACACGTGGCTCCTGAGCCACAATCTCAACTGATCTCTAAGCGCAGGCCAGTAGGAAGCCATGAGCACCTCTGGGTGTGGGCCCAAAACCAATAAAAACGAAAACAAAAACAAAGTAATAAAAAATTCTAATAGTGTGATCAATGTTTACTTTTCAACTATCATGCCTTAATAGAAACAATAAGCAAGAGAACTGGTTTTACAGTAGGAAGTTTGCCACTTCATGAAGGGTGGGGGAATGATAGGTCGGGGAAGGGTATATATCCCAAGACTGGTGGAGGGAAGTGGTCACTCTGAGGGAGAATAGAGAACTGAAGTAGGTATATAAAGTGCCTGCCATGGGGAGGGAGGGAAACTGGGGACATTGGTGGAGGAAACTAGTCACTGGTAAAAGAACTGGTGTGGAAATTGTATGGCAGAAATTCAACTATGAATCACTTGATCACTTGACTTCCTGTTAATCGTTGATTTTCTCGAGCGGGCGCCAGTAACGTCTCCATTTGTCCCTGTTGCGTGCTAGTGTAGCCCAGTGGCGTTTGTTCGTTCTAGGAACATGAAGAGCCTCAAACCGATCGTTCATGATCTTGATGAAGAAGTCTGACCATCTGGTAGATGGTCCACTACCTCCACTACCCAGCCACCGCCACGCTCCAGGATGCTTTCTGGACAGCGCGGCCGCAAAGTGGCGGCACAACACATTATAAAACACTTAATATCCATACATAATTACAATTATGAATACCTCTGTTAATTTTGAAATTCATAGTGATTCAATAAAAAGAAAAGAAAGGAAGAAAGAAAGAGAAAAAGAAAGAAAGAAAGAAAGAAAGAAAGGGAAAGAGAGAGAAAGAAAGAGAGCAAGCAAGCATGCCTTATCTAAACAAAGGTTTAAAAGGAAAGCAGCTTTGGGGCTCGAGCGATAGTACAGCGGGTAGGGCATTTGCATCTGGAAAACAACAGAAGACAGAAAGTCTGAAAACAAACTCGTGTCTTTGTACATGCGACACAGGGTCCGTCCAGTTCTTAAAGAAAGGAAAAGTTCGCCAGACTGTATATTTGTTGTACTTTACATTCTATGTTCTAAGAAATAACTTAAAAATTTAAAATTTTATAAGGAAACAAGAAACAAAATTAAAATGTTTTCCAAAAAAAAGAAACGTTTTCAGGGTCAATTTCATATGAATTTTTCTCGATTTACTCAACATTCTCAAAATTTCACTTGTGAAGTCAGAGAGACAGTTCAGGGGCTAAGGAGCATGCTCCACATGTGTTTCATCTGGGTTGAGCCCTGTACCAAGTGGTCCCTGGAGCTACAGTTTGGAGACCCCCAGCATCACTGGGGTAGTGCAGGCAATCCCTGAAGCACAGGCTCTCTGAACAGCCCTGCATCCGTGGACCCACATACAGAACCGTGCTCCTTTAGCTGAGAATTATCGGGCAGGGCCCCTTGGCCTCCAGAGAACTGACTGAACTGGGAGTCTCCCCACCACCAACAGAAAAATGTCACGGGATGTAAGCTGGGGGGATGCAGCTCACAGTGACTGAACGCATGTCCTTTGGGTTCAATCCTCGGTACCCCAAAACCAAACCAAACAAAACTTACCCTTCTGGTGTTTTCAAGGATTTTGGGATCAGGTTTTCCATAGTTAGGTGGATTGGCATATGGGTCATATCCCAGTTTGGCAAGCATGGGTGCAATCGCTGCCATATCTTGTAGAACATCTGATGGTATCTTCCCGACCCATTTGGATAGAGCTGCCACATTGACTGGCTTGATGACCTGGTCAGTAGATCTCTCCACTCTGAAATGATGTAATGTGAATAATTACTTATATTTAGAATACAAAAAAGTAGAGATAAAAGAACACCTGAAATTACTTCTGGTAACTTTAAATGACAAGTTCAACACTATTAAGAAAGGGCATTAATACAGGCTTAACTCTATTTGCCAGACTGTATTTATATATTCTAAATATGACTGTAATTATTGGGAATTTCGGATTTCTAGAAAAAAATAAGAAGTGTCAGCTGAAAATATCAGCACAAAATGTACTGACCCTTAATTGAAACATGCAGGGAAAAAAAATGAAGATAAGACTGCTTACATAAGAGATGGAAAGGTCATATAGTGCACATGACATGCATGTGTGAAACCCTGGGTTTAATCTCCCGAACAACCAGGTGTAGCCCGGGTGTCCCTTACAATCCTGAGCACCACCAGGGGTGTGTCCCCCCGCAAGGAAAAGAAAAACAGTCAGTCAACTTTAGAATGCATAAAAAACAAACTAGCATGATGAAACGATAAATGAGCAGAGAGGGCAAGATATGTGATAAATCAAGTAGAACAAAATGTTAATTATAGCTAGTAACTAAATTTTTTTCTATGATTTTTATATCCGATAATGTTTCAAGATAAAATACCGGAGGAAAAAACATCTAACCCATGATCTGCTAAGAATACAAAACATTTGTTTATTCTATCTTTCTGAAGAAATCACTTTTTTTTTCTTTTTGGATCACACCCAGCAATGCTCAGGGATTACTACTGGCTCTGCACTCAGGAATTACTCCTGGCGGTGCTCGGGGACCATATGGGATGCCGGGGATCGAACCCAGGTCAGCTGTGTGCAAGGCAAATGTCCTATCCATTGTACTATCACTCCGGCCCCGGAATCACTTTTTTAAAGAAGAAAATGAAGTGATATTTAGGATTTTCTTTTAAAGATTAATTATTTTTAGACACCAAAACTGTTAATGGTAGGGTTTCATGCACAAAACACTCCCAGCACCACACCGTCTACCAACTGTCTGCTCCCCTCCACCATTTTCCTAGAGCCTCTTTCAAAGTCTCCCCACAGAAACCAATTACCCAGTGGTAAGCGTCCTACTGAAGACCAGTTCTAGGTTTCTGTTGATTTTTGGCATTTTTTTGTATTCCCCTGCCATGTTTCTTTATATCCTGCATCTGAGAGAGATCATTCTGTCTGCCCCTCCTGCATCTGAGAGAGATCATTCTGTTTGCCCCTCAACTTCTTGTTTGTTTTTTTCGGGGGCACACCTGGCAATGCTCAGGGTCTACTCCTGGCTCTGATACCAAATCATACCTACTCACACCAAATGGGATGCTGGGGATTGAACACAATTTAGGCCACGTGCAAGGTAAATGCCCTACCCACTGGACTATCACTCTGGCTCCCTTGGACCACAGCTTTATAAGTCTCTCCACCAGAGTTTCAGTGCCTACGATTTTCAGTACTATAGAATAAGCATGTTCTGCCACTTAACCTGGAAATTAATTTTCACAAACATTTTATTAAAAACTTTTATGCTTTAATGTTTATATTTATTATATTTGAATAAATATTCAATCATCTAACAAAATATTTAAAAAGTGATATTTCCTTGGGTGGCTGGAGGGTTGGGTCACACTGTTGCTCCAAACTTAGTCCTGGCTCTGTACTCAGGGACCGCTTCTGGTGGGGACCCAATTCCTATTGCTTAGGAATCTAACTGGGATCAGCCACAAGCCAGGCAAGTGGCAGCAGCCACACCCTCTCTGGCCCCAAATTTCTACCCTTTTGTTGTTGCTGTTTAAAAAAGAGAGAGAGAGAGAGAGAGAGAGAGAGAGAGAGAGAGAGAGAGAGAGAGAGAGAGAACGAACTGGGCCATACAAAAGAAATGACAAGTCAGAGATAAGCCAGAGCATTTTGTCGTACGAGACAGCAAGGAAAGGTATCACAAAATACTGTGGTTTTGGCAGAGTAGGGAGTAAAGTGAGAGAGCTCCCAATCCTCAAACAGCAGGAAACAGAGGGAAAATGAGCTAGATACAGAATTTTACATGGGGCACATAAAATTCTCTTTACCTAAAAAAAAAAAACACAACTCTATCCAGAAAGGAAAACTGGAGGGACCTGAAATCATCTTTGCAATGAAACTTGGCCTGACACCTGACATCCACCAAAGGCACAGTTAAGGTACAAAATAAGAGGGAGGAAGAGGCGGGGGTTGCAGAGATGTCTAATTGACAGAGTTTTGCCAAGAAATCAAGTCGAATCTAGCAATCTGCTTGTACACAGGGTGAGTGTACAAACGGTTAAACTTGGGGGGCTCCCTTGCTGTCAGGTACCATCCTAAACTCTAGGTGGAGAAGGGGCAGGCGGTAAGGTAAATAAAATATCGGAAAGGTAAATATCGTCACTGTGAGGATCATCACTGTGACTTTAGCATCAACAAAGCCCAAAGCCAAGGGCTGGAGCGATAGCACAGAGGGTAGAGCGTTTGCCTTGCACGCGGCTGACCCGGGTTCTATTCCCAGCATCCCATATGGTTCCCTGAGCACCGCCAGGAGTAATTCCTGAGTGCATGAGCCAGGAGTAACCCCTGAGCATCGCTGGGTGTGACCCAAAAAGAAAAAAAAAAACTTCAAAGCCAACCTCTCCCCTATGCGGTAGCACTGTCCTCTTGTTGTTCATCGATTTGCTCAAGCGAGCCCAATAACATCTCAAATGTGAGACTTGTTGTTACTGTGTTTGGCAAATCGAATACATACTGGGCCGCTTGCCAGGCTTTACAGTGCGGGCGTGATACTATTGGTAGCTTGTTGGGCTCTCTGAGAAAGTCGAAGGAATCGAACCTGGCTCGGCCAGGTTGACTGCGTGCAAGGCAAACTGCCCTACCCGCTGTGTTCTTGCTCCAGCCCTATGTTCCTGTACCCCTATGTGGTACAGATACCAAATATCCACCTAGGCAAGAGAAAAGTGGAGAGGTTGCAGCAGCTCCAGGTGAAGCAAGTCCAAGACAACCTCCTGCGTGGGCTGCAGTGCACATACCCCTACCCATCTGAGACAGAGAGGGAAGCAGAATGTGTCAGGGTCCAGCAAGCCCAAAGCTGCTCCCTTCCCACCACATCTGACTCTGGATAACATCTCCTGCCCTTTTAAGAAAATGAACAAAGTGACAGAGGACTGACTGATTAGAGTGAAAAAGGAAGGAGACTTTTCAAAAAAAAAACTAAAAATATGATTTCCAGATGATCTAGCAGTCCAGTCCTTGGTATCTATTCTAAGAATTCATTCAAAAACACTAATTCAAAAAAATACATATGCACCTTTATGTTCACTGCAGTGCTGTTTACAATAACCAAGATCTGGAGACTACCCAAATGTCCAACAATAGGTTAGTGGAGACATAACTTGTGGTATATACACACAATGAAATACTACTCAGCTATAAGAAAAAGATGGAATCTTGTATTTCTCTCCAACGTGGATGAAAATGGAGGATATGAGTAAAGTGGGTGTGAAGAAGGAAAATGCCAGAGAATCTTGTTCATAAGTAGAGTATAAAGAACCAATAGAAATAAACCCGAGGGGCTGGAGTGATAGCACAGGGGGTAGGGCATTTGCCTTGCATGCGGCTGACCCAGGTTCGATTCCTAGCATCCCATATGGTCCCCCAGCACCGCCAGGAGTAATTCCTGAGTGCAGAGCCAGGAGTAACCCCTGTACAGCGCCGGGTGTGACCCAGAAAGCAAAAAAGAAAAAGAAAGAAAGAAAGAAAGAAAGAAAGAAAGAAAGAAAGAAAGAAAGCTGAGATACTGATGACAGAACTGAGAACTGACCTTGCAATGGGAGGCAGGAGAAGGGACTTAGTGACTTTGTGCTGGAAGGATATTGGCACTCTGCCAGTAGGTGTGAGACAGAGCATGGGAAACAGTAAATAAATAAAAAAACACTTAATACTTTTGATGATGGGCTGGAGCGATAGTACAGTGGGTAGGGCATTTGCCTTGCATGCAGCCAACCCAGCTGCCTGGGTTCGATTCCTCCATCTCTCTCGGAGAGCCCGGCAAGCTACTGAGAGTATCTCGCCTGCACGGCAAAGCCTGGCAAGCTCCCCATGACGTATTCGATATGCCAAACACAGTAACAACAAATCTCACAATGGAGACGTTACTGGGCCCGCTTGAGCAAAATGATGAACAATGGGAGGACAGTGCAGTGCTACTTTTGATGATATCACAATTTAAGTTGAGAGGAAAACAAAAGTGGTCCAATTTGGTTTATGTTTTGTTGAAGGCCCCATGGGCGACCAGCAATGCTCAGGTTATGCTCCTGGTTCTGTGCTGACAAGGACCCAGCCCCTCGGCAGCACTGACGTTAGACACTCAACCACATTCATCCACTGAAAACGTCATGGCTTGGTTTGGTTCTATTATCCCATTCTTTATTAGTTACAGACAGTACAATCTTGATAAATATGCAAGGACGTTTGATTATTTACTGAGAGTTGTCTCTTAAGAAAGGGTAAAGTGGCTTTAATAGCAGCATTAAATCAGAGGTTCTAGAAGTATAATTTGCTGAAAGCTAAGCCATGGCAAAACAAGAAATGTAACTCCCTAATCTAAGATCACTGCAACATGTATTGTATATTCTATCTCAGTAACACCTTCAGAATATGTTCCACAAAGAGAAACTTCTTTTCCCTTTGTTCATAGATGTCTTTCAAGTTCCTATAATTAGTTTCAGGCACATCACAAAAGGTAAACAAATATTTGTTAAAAGTAATAACCAGAAAGTCTGTTTCAGATTAATCAGTAACTGTGTTTCTATGTTGAGATTAATAGCACACACACACACACACATACACACAAAACACAGTTTCTACTTTTCTCTATTTACCTGCCCTCTCCCCAATGAGGTGGTCATGTTGAAGCATTTTTTGTTATTATTATTATTATTTTTTTTTTTGCTTTTTGGGTCACACACCCAGTGATATTCAAGGGTTACTCCTGGCTCTGC